AGGGGATGTGTCTTGGAGCGCCAGGGTTGGGCTGGGGGACAGAGCACGCCAAAGATGGGCAGCAGCTCCTTCCAAAAACCACAGCCATGTAGTGGGGGTGCAGAGTGTCTGGGAGTGGGAGGCTATATCACCTTAGGAAGGGTGGGGAGGTCGCATGCGGGGAGAGCTAGAGAAAGTGAGGCTCCTACACACTCTACTCGGGGACCCAGGTTGAGGGAAGGGGCAGGGACCAGAATTTGCTTGGCAAGTCTGTGAATGGTGAAACCCTGAATAAAGCTTGAGCAAACTGCTCCCGAGAGCAACGTCTAGAGTATTTGCAGCTGGAATGAGTTCTGTGACGTAGAGTGATTATCTAGGTAGGCCCATGTGTCCCACCAGAATCCAAAGTCAATCAGTATTTTAACAAAGTAATTTCCTTACGGTCTTCCTAATTTTCCTTCTACACAAACTTGTAAGGAAAAGTCATTAATAAATTGCTCGTGGTGGCTCCCTGCTTCTGGAAGCTCCACCAGGTGATCCACCAGCTCTTCACGCTCACACACCCAGACGCTTCTGCAGATATGGGCCAGCTGGAGCCAGGTGGGAAGAGCTCTGTGTCGTGACCTGGCCCCATCAGCACAGTGACAGCCTCTGACACAGTACCCAACACCTATGAATGTGTATCCTTCCGCGGCAAAAGGACGTTTCACTTGTGATTAAATTAAAAAACTTGGATTATCCTGTAACATTCCAATCAAATGACACAAGTCCTTAATAGTGGAGAATGTCTCCCACAGGGGCCAGAGAGAGAAGTGTGAGGGGAGATGAGGGGCCCTTGCTGCCTGGGAAGGCAGAGGAAGGGCCTGGCAGGTGGGGCGGCTGTCCCTGGGCATTGGTGGAAAACCCCGGGAACAGAGTCTCCCAAAGTCCCCTGAAAGGAGCTGCTGTACTGGCCACTGCACTAGCTCTGCAGGATTGTAGGGGAGACAACAGCTTTGTCCTCTGCTCTCAGAGCGAGTGATGTTTACCGTGGCAGCCACAGAGAACTGACACAGATGTGGAGGTGTTTGCTCCTCTGCCTGGCACCTCTGCCATTTAATTTTCTTGTGATTTTCAGCAAATTCACTCTCTTCTTTTGCTCTCGAAAGTTAGCTGAAAATATACTATTTTCTTAACCTCGTCCTTGGAAAAATTGCTTTCTCCTTTTTCCCTTCATACCTACCTTTTCCAAATAGTTCCACAGGAGCTATTTATGTTGGATAAATGTAACTACAATTCAAGTTATAGCTCCTGTGTGAAAACCCGCCAGGAGTGGGAGCCCCAGATAAGACGTCCCCGAGTCACCAGCCTCCCTGGCGGGTGCTGACTTCACCCTGCATCTCCACGTCAGGACCTGTTGGCTTTTATCACACTCACAAGCAGGACCAATAAAACTGCTCCAGGTGGCTGTCACCCCTCTGTTCCCAGGGACCTAACCAGGAGGTCGTGTGCAGCTGTGGGCTGCAGATGTGAACATTCAAACTCGTGACCATCGGCCTTCAAAAGGTTCACATCATGCTGTCATATACTTGTTAGAAACAAAATTTAGACCTTTAACAAAGTTTGTGATGAATGCATTGAATAACTTTAACATGGAGTCATTCATGAAGTTATTGAAAGTCTTACTTTAGGGAGTGTTTTAACCAAATGAACAACAACTTACAGGAAAAGCTCGATTTTAACATGAATTTAGATGAGGCTCCATGGCAGTGAGAAGCCCCCAGTCTGTCCTCTCAGGGATCCGGAAATACTCAGCGGGATAAGATGGGTCCCTACCGAGGACAAGCCATCCTAAGCCATTTGTGCAATTAGTCTGTCTTTAAGGGAAACCAAACATTTGAATCAGCACAAGCCACACAATTAGATTGATGGCTTTAACCTAAAATAGCTCCACTGCCAAACCACATCTGAAAAGAACCAGGTAAATTAGAATTGCAATAAGGTTCCTGTACAGAATAAAAATCATCTAACACTTAATTGTGTAATTGAACTGGAGCTTCTGGTAAAAAACTAATAATTACCTCTTAATGACCCCATAAATCTGTTCTAACCTAAGCGCTGTTTAATGTTTCACTTGGCTTCCTCTTACATTTTCTTGGTTTATTTCTTTTGTTCAGGAGAAACAATAAGACATACTTATATTTTTTATTGTATGCCAGATTCCACACAGTAACACAAAACCTCTCATTAACACTAGTGAGAGATTTTTTTAGAAATAACTCAAGGCTGAGATTTCTTAAAAATTTATCTAGAAAATTAATTTAAGTATTTAAGGAAATTATGTTTTGCATATTTCCATGAGAACTGCCTCATAAATGTCAATTAATTAAATTTCATAATGTCATTCAAAGAGATAACATAGTAATCCTGTTAGAAATAAATACGCCAATAATTAGGCAGGTTAAGTAACTTATTCAAGGTTATTGTCCCAGCTCCTTAGAACTGAAAAGGCAAAAAGGCAGCCAGTGTCCAGCTCTCTGTCTTCTCTCTCTTGGACACACATGTATCTAGTTATGCTGTACTGAAAATATTTCGTCTCATAACTTTGTTATCTGTGATGCCCACACAACAGCAGCTCTGGGGCCAGGACGGTGAGGAGGGTCCTTCTGGACTCAGGGGCGGGGGGCAGCCACTGGCCACTGGCAGGCAACACCTGCCAGCCCAACTCCCCCTCTGAAAGCCTTTCAGAGCTTTTCAGGCAGAAAAGCCCCATGGAGTGAGCTGGAGGAAACTTCTCTGGTCACACAAAATAGCACAAACCACACCAAGAAACCAGATATAAACAAAAGAGCAATCAAAGCAACCCACACATTAAACTTTAATTCCCTCCCTTATCTGCTGAAAATATGTTCCAAGCCCCCCAGTGGGTGCCTGAACCTGAGGATGGTGTCGGATCCTACACACACCCATAATGAAGTGTAACTTATAAACCAGGCACAGTAAGAGACTAAAAACAACGCCTTATAGAAAACAGAGCAGCTGAGACAGGTGCCACCAGGTCCACTCTTGTGCTTTGGGGCCATGACTAAGTACAGTGAGGGTCATTGGAACACAGGGATGCAATGCCACAATTGTCGACTGATCATGAGATGGCTGCAAAGTGAGTGGCTAGTGGGTGGCACAGACAGTGTGGACACTCTGGCAACCTGTGTCCTGGCAGGATAGAGCAGGATGGAGCAGGATGAGGCAGGATGGGGCAGGACAGGGCAAGACAGAGCACGACAGGAAAGGATGGGGCAGGATGGGGCAGGGTGGGGCAGGACAGAGCAGGCATGTTGCTGAGTGCCACCAGCCCACCCTCAGATCTTCCATGCTATCAAATGGCCCCTCAGTGTCCCGGTTCAGTTCTCTCTGCCAGGCGGGAATTATCCTTCTATCCTTCTTGTGCAAATAGCAGTGGTGCTTAAAGGGGGTGAACCGCTCCTCCAGGAGAGAGGCCCTGACTATTAAAGCTCCATCCTCCCATCCCAGCCCTTTTCTTAACAAGGACAGCGCTGAACCTGGTAAGGTCTGTGCAGGTGACGTCCTGTTCTCTCAGATGCCCCGAGAACTCGCAACCTGGCAGGATCCAGGCACTTGCTCTGCTGCAGCTGGGTACTGGGTGGAGCTGCCAGCATTCCCCCTCCCTCCACCACTAGAACGTTACAGAGTTATCCTAGTCAGGACATCTTCTCCTAGGTGTCTTCACCTTAAACCAGACTGAAAAGCCATCTGACCCTGGCACCCAGCCTGGGTGGCTGCAGGGAGGCTCTCTACTCTGCTAAAGGAGGGCTGCTGTTACTGTTACCGGGAGTGGAACAGAGGGTCCCCCTCTTCCCTAGTGCTCCGTCACTTGGCCTCCTAATGACGACTCTGGGTCCTGAGGATTCTGAGTGGCTCTGTGTCATTACACGTTTGATTATGTCCCATAATCATAGACATGGGAGATTCTACAGCTAGTAGCTTCACTTCTGACGGGTAATGTGTGATGGCTAAGTGGGTTGGATGTCTCGATAGAAAGGTTAATATAAGCAGCAGGAATCAAGCATACTTCCAATTTACGAAGCCCAATGCAAGGAGAAAACTGTAGCCCTGTGAGAAAGGGGAGGCGTGTTGAGGCAGTGTCCACGAGCCCTGGGTCAGCGCCGGCCACTGGGCATGATACACACGCCTGCTGCTGTTAGGCGCTCCCAGGAGCCCTACACATCCGGACAACACGGGTGAGAGATGAACAGCAACGATACGTTCACATTCAAATAACCCTTTTTAAAAGTGGCTGTCTGTAGTCCCTAAGTTCACATGCTAGGAGTCACGGATGCTTGTCAGGAGTGAGTGCAGACGCCAGTGTGGAGGGAACCTCCTCTGTGACCCGCTGCTTCATTTACTTCCTGACGTTCTTATTTCCAGCAGTGCGTTTCCCGTGTGAAGGGATCGTCCTGCTATTTACCATAATGAGGATCATAATACATTTTCCCCTCTCCACTCAGACAACATACATTCAAATTTGTGAGTAATTTATTTGCTGTTATCAAGAAGAGAAAAGCAATTCAGACACAAAAGCTATTTTGAACTATTAAGATCGAGAGGAAGGGCCATTAGTGCTTTAAATTTTGCAAACACCCAGCTAACTTCACCATATACATTCATTTGTGAGCTGGGTGTTTTGCCTCCCGTAATGCTGCCTCTAGCGAGTTTTGCCACCAGTCAGGAATTAGATCAGTGGTGTCTGCTGAGTCTCTCCCTGGAAAGCTGTCTAGCCCTTGTCCTCACATTAAATGCAAATATAGATGCACAATACTCTGCCTCACTTGCCCACACAAGAGCCTGTGTGATCCACCAAGCACAAAATTCATTTTGACATCATGACTCAGATAAAAAATCCTCACCTTTTGAACACTTGGTATTTTCCTGAAATAAGCTGTTATATGTAGGATACACTCTAATTACTGGGTTTCAGGCATTCCGAGGATGTCTGTGATGAGAAAGAGTGAGCTGCTGCTTACCCCAGTTCTTTGAACTTCCATGAAGGTTGCTTTTTGGAATGACTTCTCCCACATCACCAGCTCACTGCCGAGATCCACGTTGAAAAAGTGACTCTTCCCGTGGCCTGCTGTGATGCTGAAGCAATACGGCCTCTGGTCCTCAAAGTCAAGGTTGTGAAGCCCCAGATACAAGTTTGCTTGTAACCAGCAGTCATCTGTAAGCCAGAACTGAGAAACGGCATGGCTTAAAAACATGTCTGAGTCAGAAGGAAGGCCATGTCCAGACCAGGGACACCAACGCCCCCACAGCCCCCTTCAGGGGGCCCCTGGAACCTGGGGGTGGGGTGGGGTTAGCCCAGCAGTCTCCTGGCCACATCTTCAGGCAAACTCAGACACAGCTAGTGTGGACAAAGGGCCATAATATTTGTAAATGAATTATGTCCAACTCATGATCATGTGTCTTTCTTTTAAAATATTGCTGACCACACCCTTTTTAAAAAGTCTAACTTTAAAGACAAAGATAAAAGTCTTCAGACACTGATGCTCACGTTTAGTGTAACACTGACAGTGCTGACACAGCATTGCACCTGTCTGTCACTAAGCATCTCCCCCAGCTGGGGGGTTCCTACAGCACCATCAGGCTCTCCTCCCACCTTCCTATGCACATTTTCCTGAAATACGACTTTGTTCTCAGGCCCGTGCTGAAGGAGGGCAAGTAGCTAAGTCACTCCAGACTTGATTATGTCAACCCAAAGGTCTTCACAAAACAGAATGAATATGTGTGTGTGTGTGTATATATATATATATATATATATTTTTTTTTTTTTTTTTTTTTTTTTTTTTTTTTGCAGTTTTTGCAGTTTTTGGCCGGGGCTGGGTTTGAACCCGCCACCTCTGGCATATGGTGCTCTATTCCTTTGAGCCACAGGCGCTGCCCTGGAACCAGTATTTTAGAAATATTCTGAAAAGCAAAAGTTAAAACAAAGAAACAAACAATGACTGTAGTTCAGTTTCTGGTGAGTAATTTAACCAGGAGGTACAAATCAACTACAGCCTGCAAATCACAGGTGGACCTGGACTACCATGGCCCGCTGATGGCCACACCGGTGCAGAGATCTCCTGGCCTTCCTCCACTCCTCCTGTGATCATGAAAGCAGCAGCCTCCATTTCAGGGCCAGGTTGTCTCAAGGTCAGGCAGGGAAAAAATGGAGCTCTCAGCTGTCACCATTCCCAGGCCGACGGTGTGGAGGCCGAAACACAGGCACAGTCTGTCAGTGCCTGGCTGTGCCTCTCTCCCTCTCTCTGTCTCCGTCTGCCTCCCTCTCTCTCTCTGTCTCCGTCTGCCTCCCTCTCCCTCTCTCTCTGTCTCTGTCTCTGTCTCCCTACCTCTCTCTTTCTTTCTGTCTCAGTCTCTCGTTTCTCAGTCTCTGTCCCTTTGTCTCTTCTTTGTATATCTCTCTGTCTCTGTCCATCTTTAGTCCTGTCTGGCAGCAGAGAGGGGTAGGAGTCTGCTCACCTGCTAGGTCTCTGCAGGTGATTTTGTGCCTTGTGATTCACTTAAGCCACCAGACAAGCCAGACATAACCCATTCACAAATAAGTTCAAGGTTCATTTCTCCAATCCACAAGGACTCAGCAAGTGCCCAAATAGTTTTATTTAAGATATGTTGACATATGCTTTCTATGGACAGGCCTGAGGTACAAGCACAATTTCTGTGTCTAGGGTGGACTCCTGTGCACAGTTCCAGATAATCCAGGGGCCCTGCTGGCCTCAGACAAGGATTCTGCAGGTTGGTGCTGGTGTTCAGCCCAGAGAGCTGAACGTTTATCCCTGTGCCCCAGAGCTGAATGTTTATCCCTGTGCCCCATCCACACACCTGCTGCCTGTGATGTGTGTGTCCATACATGTGGTGGGTGCATGTGGCTGAGCCTAAATGCACCTTTTGTACAGAAACTACACCTTAATTTTAGAGCTCTCCAGATCCTTTACCTAATCAATAGATTGGATTACATGTCAGAAACCAAGAATAAAATATTGGCTTTACATCTAGAAATTATTTCCATAGTTACTGAACCTAAAAATCAAAAATCAATAACCAGAGAAGATCTCTGTGAAAGTGTTTATGTAGGCAGAGCATAACACATCCACTGAATTCACAGCCAACCCTGAGCTCCTACGTGGTTAGGGTAAGGTGACCAGACGTCCAGCTTTTGGCAGGACAGTCCTGATTTTTAATGATTTGTCCCACATGCCGTGGTATTTTTAAAAAGTCCCAATTTTGGGAAAGAATGCACGACAAGCTAGGGAACGGCAGGAGAATGGGAAGGGAATATACAGTTTTCAACTGCCATCTGGCTATTTCTCCAGGTTATGAGTTTTATATTATTTTTGTTAATTTTATAATGTTAAATTTAATAATAACAAATAATTGTTGAGAACTGATTATTGAGAACTGCTTATCAAAGTTCGCATTGTTGATCAGTTGTTAGAATTTGACCACCATTGTTTGGACTTATTGAACAATGGCATTTTTTGGCATTGGCAAGGATGAAACATTTTGTCACTGTCTCTCAGACAATACACATTGTACTACATGCTAGTGCTAGTTAAACAACTGATGTCAACAAATCAGCTATTCAGATAATTTAGGTAAGTAATTTATTTATTTCATAAATTTAGCAGACAGTACTCGTATTATTTATATTTTTATAGTGGCAGCAAAAAGTCTAGCGCCAGCCTTGAAAGTGACATGACTTACAAGGTATTATTATTTAAAAAATATATTGATAAGGAAAAGGTTAAATCTTGGGCATCAGCAAAAATCACAATAGAGAACAAATGGTTAGAAATATTTCATCATTTTGAAACAAACCATGTTCCACACAATAATGCACTAAAAATTGTGGGACACGCGCTGTCCTTACCAGGAACTAAGGCTGCGATTGAACGTGTTTTTCCTACGGTAAATAAAGTGTGGACATCAGAAAAATCACAATGAAGTGTAGAGACTTTGAAAGCCATTTTATGTGTGAAATATAATTTAACAAATTCTTGTGAAAAATTTCATGACCCTTTAAAGAATGACAGGAATCTAATAAAAAAAATCACTCAGATGAGAAATAAGCCAAAGAATAAAATAATACTATACATAATTTTTAAAATGTATTATATTTGTAAACTGTACTTATGTTGAAATTAAAAAATATATATTACAATACTATTTTTGCATTCTATGAAAACTTTTGTTACTCAATATAGACCAAAGATTTAACTAAGAACCCCTCCCCCTACTCCTGGTCAATGGTGTCCCACTTTACCAATGTTAAAATCTGGTCACCTTAGGTTAGAGATGTCCCTGCCCCGAGCTGGAAATACGAGTGTAACTTTTGATTCCCACACTCGTAACTAGTGACAGCCTGCTATTGACTGTAAGCCCCACTAATAACATAAACAGTCAATTAACACATATTTTGTATGTATTTTATATTGTATACTTATAGTAAAGTAAGCTAAAGATAAGAAATCATAAAGAGAAAATATATTTACAGTACTGCGCTGTATTTATAGATATTGTAAATTCAAGTCATCTGTTTACAAGATGAATGGTCCCTCTGAAATGGTGGCAAACACAGCTGGAGACCCCAAGCTACGGTGCTTCCCAGTCAACTCCGCTTCATTTGTGATGTCAGGACTTTGTTTCTGAGGAGCACTGTGAGCTTCCCAAGGGAGCACTTCAACTAGGGAGCATCTCCAGCATCACTAGAGGGAGCATC